AACCTAGTGTCATCTTGCTGACCACTGTACTCCTGCCTCTGTCCAGATCATTCCCTTTCAAGAGGTGCTTCGTGTCTATCATACTTGTAAAATAGCCCTAAGTGAAAACTTTCAGTTTTTAGTATGATAAACTTGACAGTTAAGATTATAATTAAACTGATTTATTGGCAGTAGTAATTGATAGATTTTCCTTGCACATCTCTACTACAGTTTTTATATTCAAAATATGTCAGTGATTAGAAGATTATTATCTGCTACAGAGAGGAAATATGATTGTTTTCAGTATGTGAAAGACAGTAGTACTTGTTTTGCATTCCATACGGTTATACCAGAACAAATGATGAAAGTTCGAAAGGGGCATATTTTGTCATTGGTATAAGAAAAAGTATCCAAAGGTTCAGCAGGCTCTTTTGGAAAGTTCTGAGTTCCTCTGCAGTACAGGTAAAAGGAAGGTCCTTTTCCCAGGATGCTCTTAGCAGAATATATCCTTTCCCTACTAAATTCTATCTCTTTGATATTAATAATTGTTAGAGTTACAGGAAATGTTAGAGAACTTGAAGCAGTTCTTCCTCAACTTTTGGACCTGTGGGTAGGGGTGAGAAGATATACTCCCAGTGTCTTGGCTAGTGGAGGGGGACAGATTTGCCTTTGGCTTTTGCAAAGGTAATACCAACTATACTAATTCCCATTATTTTTAATCATTATGTCTGCTTTCAATAATCATAGATAATAAAGATATTAAGTACATAAAAGATTCATATAGTCATGTTTAATTTTGTTATATTAAATTCTTATGCACCTAACTTTTCTAGCTAGTTGCTTATTAGCATTTTTCATGTGTATTCACAAATCACAGAGAATATTGTTTTACTCTGCTCCCACTTCTAATTCCTGTTTGATATTTTCTTTTTTATAATTTTTTTTAATGTTTATTTCTGAGACAGAGAGAGATAGAGCATGAGTGGGGGAGGGACAGAGAGAGGGAGACACAGAATCCAAAGCAGGCTCCAGGCTCTGAGCTGTCAGCACAGAGCCCGATGTGGGGCTCGAACTCACCAACCGTGAGATCATGACCTGAGCCGAAGTCGGTTGCTCAACCGATTGAGCCACCCAGTCGCCCCGTTTGATATTTTCAAGAAGGCAAATAAAATAAGTTTCCACTTTAAAAATGAGCAAATCTTGGATCATAAAATTAATGCTCTAAAACATAAAACAAAAGTTCGTTAATTTAGACACGCTAATGTGCAAGTTAAACATTTGCTTGGGCTAACTGCATAATTTTCGTATGACCCATAAAAATTGTTTTTAGTGAAAAAATAGTAACTTTCAGTTATAGTTGCTATGTTTCTTAAGTGTTTGTTATGGGCTAGACACTGCTAAGCACCTCACTTCTTGTAACAATGCTTTCAAGGTAGGTAATTAGTATTTTCACTATACATAGGAAAAAATGGATGCCCATGAGATTAAGTAATTTAGCCTACATGGTTTGTAGGTGAATAAACTGGAGTTGAATCTAGTTCTTTTTTATTCCATAGTTGTTCTTTACCCAAATAGCTGGATGCCAGTAGTTTTTGTCATTAATTTACTGTGCATTTGAACCTAAATTTATTTAAAAATTTTTAATTTAATTTTATTTATTTATTTTTAAGTTTATTTGTTTTTGAGAGAGAGAGAGTGTGTGTGTGAGCTGAAGAGGGGTAGAGAGAGAGGGAGACACAGAATCTGAAGCAGGGTCTAGGCTCTGAGCTGTCAGCACAGAGCCCGACGCGGGGCTTGAACCCACGGACCGTGAGATCATGACCTGAGCCAAAGTTGGACGCTTAACTGACTGAGCCACACAGGCGCCCCTATTTAAATTTTTTTAGTGTTTATTTTTTTGAGAGGGAGAGAGAGTGTGAGCGGGGGCGGGAGGGGGGAGGGGCAGAGAGAGAGAGAGGGAGACACAGAATCCCAAGCAGGCTCCAGGCTCTCAGCTGTCAGCGCAGAGCCCCACGTGGGGCTGAAACCCACCAACCACAAGATCGTGATCTGAGCAAGTCAACACTTAACCAGCTGAGCCACCCAGGTGCCCCAAACCTAAATTAAAAATAAGTTTTATGTTGTGTATTTACTGACAGGTAAAGATATATGTATATAAAGTTTATTGCAGCATGTTTCAAAGTAAATATTGAAAACACTTAAAAATAAATGCATGTTTATTCACACGTAAATACATATACATTTGTGCATGTACATACATGTGTACCTGTATGGAGAATTGAACTGGAAGGGAATGATTGTGTATATACCTGTCGGTAGATATATAGATATAGGTAAAAGATTTGTTTATTGTTTTTCTGTATATATGTATCTCTATGTATATGGGTTTATATAATACTAAATTGCTGGATACTTAGAGTTGAATGCAGTCATTTCATTACCTCCAGAGAGATTTGTCAGGAACACTCATAAGACTTACCAGTTACACAATAAGAGGAAAAGAGCCACTGTAATTCTACTAATTTTTTTTTTTTTTTTTTTTTTTTTTTTTTTTTTTTTTTTTTTTTTTTTTTTTTTTTTTTTTTTTTTTTTATGTTTTGCTTCCTTGCTTTTGAATGGTTTGTCATCATAGTCAGCTAGCCACATTTTTTTCCCCCTTACACTGCTGTGGGTTTCCTAAACATCAAGGCTTCTGGGAATATACTAGTAAATTATCTCACTTGTTCTTTATACTTCTCACATAGCACTGTTATCAGTAGGTAGTTTTGGAGAAGTTAAATTGGAAACATTAAGTGGGAGTAGGAATAAATAAAAAGAGGTAAACTCCTTAAATTTCTTTTTGCTTCTTCTCCATCTTCCCCAGTCCCCAATAAAGCAACACATTGATCTCAGCTTGCTCATTATTCTTTCTAGTGTTAAGTTCTGACTATCTAGCACAGGAGTTGCCAAATTACAGCACCAAATTATGTGAGCCAAGTTCGCTTTATTGAAATAAACACATTCATTCATTCATGTATTTTCTACAATTGCTTTCTTGGTACAACAGCAGAGTTGAGTAGTTGCAACAGAGACTTTATGGCCTGCAAAGTTTAAAATACTGTCTGGATCTTTACAGAAAAAGTTTGCAGATTCCTGATCTGGCAGGTAAGGAAGAAACCAGGGATTTCTCATTTAATTTCTGGGGGGAACTTTAACTTGATATTTTTCCTTCCCGTTCCCCTTCCCTGTCCTCCTCTTCCTCCTCCTCCTTCTAATTTTAGAGAGAGAGATGCAGTGAGCTGGGGAGAGGGGCAGAGGGGGAAAGAGAGAGAGAGAGAATATTTTAAGCAAGCTCCACGCTCAGCCTGACAGGGGGCTTGATCCCAAATCCCTGGGATCACAACCTGAGTGAAAATCAAGAGTTGGACAGACGTTCAACCACCTGGGCCACCCAGGTGCCCCTAACCTGATCTTTATGAGAACGTTCTAGCACATGACATTACATGGTATTTTATCTGAAATGCCCCAAAACTATTTTGAATTGGTTTGGGAAGTAGCATAGTATCTGGGAGGAAACAGCTTCTGTTTTTCAGCAAATATGTTATGAAGAAACTTTGAAAGTTGTCTGCAGTTGGGGTTCCTGGGAATTAATTATGTAAAAGAAAGCAGTGAGGAAGGAGAAAGGCTAGTTCATTTTGATCTGTAATGTCTATATTATTAGTGTGTTAGGTTCATTTTATATCATTATTTATATCATTATTCATTTGGTAAACATTTGATCCAGTGTTGACTTGTCACCACCTGTCAATTTTTACATTGCGTGCATGGAGATTTTTTTTGTTGCTGTTGTCAGTTTTCATTAAAAAGGGATCGCTCTTCCTCACGGATGTATTTTCACTACCTAAAATAGTACTTGACTGTAATAGATGTTTAAATAATATTTGTTGAATGAATGAACTCAGATAAGAGATTCTATTTTTGTAGCCAGATTGTGGTTTTTGAAAAATGTTTCCGGTTTGTACCTAGAAAATAGGTAATAATTAGAAATCCACAAGCTTTTGTGAAGAACGTATCTTTCCAGATTGATGGTCTTAACTGTGGGTCCTGTCAGCTCATTACATAGTAGTAACTGTATAGTCACTTCAGTGAAGCTTTGTTTGGTGCCTGAAAACCTAATTATAAATTGATGTGAACTGGTTAGATTATATGTTTCCATTAGGTGAATTTCACACTGGCTTTAATGATCTTAACTCTGATTTTGCAAACTGCTGTAGGTTCTAAATTACCTTGAGGGTTGTTATTATATTTGTATAAAGTTCTCAAATGTAGTTAAATCATTTTAATACAATTGGCTTACAATTTTTTCCTAAACTCTCCAGGTACCATTTATAATAATGAAAAGATACTGCTAAATACTAACCATTGACTTATTCACAGTCGCTTGCAATTCTTTTTAGTAGATCTGATTCTACCCAGTGGGGAGCTGTTTTCATTCCACTTTTAAGATAACCTCAAAGAATCACTAATTATAAAGATGTATACTAAACTAGTTAAAATTAGATTGAATTATATTGGAATTTAAAAAAAAAGTATCCAAAATTTGTAGGAGATGCTCTAAAATCAAATGAATGATCTCCGTATGTAACAATTTTAAAGTGCTTGGAAATAGCTGGGATTTGTAGTGTGCTTAGTGGTTTGGCACTAACCAATTTGTGGTTGTCATGGCTAACACCCAGTATAACAGAATGGAGGAAAGTAGGCAGATGCAAGCTAAATGTAAAATAAGACAATGCAGTTTCATTTGCTGAGGAAAACAGTAATTCAAAACAAATAGTTCTTTGGTGTTGTGTTAACAGATAAAAATCTCAAAGGCAGTCATAATGGCTCTTAAAAATCAGCGACGTGATGCTCTTTTTTTCTTCTGTAGATTGTGCTTTTGTTTAAACAAATGGGATGATGAATATATTCATAGAAAAATAGCTTGTAGCAAGCAACCTGAGGAAATTGACACTCTGTTCCAATTGGTTGGTGGACTACCAACCATGGGGCCATATTTGGCCGTTGCCTGTTTTTGTAAAGCAAGTGAGCTAAAAATGTTTTTTACATATTTAAAGCATTTTCCCCCCTCAGTATTTTGAAGATGTTACTCTACTGTCTTCTCATTTGCCTTGTTTCCCATGAGAAGTCTTTTTTGTTCCTCTCCATGTAACTTGTCTTTTTTAAGCTGGTTCCTTTTAAGATTTTCTCTGCCAGTGGTTTTGAGCAATGATTATGATGTGCTGTGGTCTAGTTTTCTTCCTGTTTTGTGCTTGAGATTGGTTGAACTTCTTGAGTTTATTGGCTTATTTTCATCAAATTTGGAAAGTTTTCACCCATTATTTCTTCAAATAACTTTTCTGTCCCCCATTTCTTTCCTTGAGGACTCCAGTTATATATTTTGTAATTGTGTTACTTGAAGTCCTTCAGTTCACTGATGTTCTTTCATTTATTTCTTTTTTCTCTGTATTACATTTTGGATAATTTCAAGTTGGCAGTTCTTGCCATCTATTAGTTATTATGTATTTATTCTCATCAAACATATTTTCATTTAGGGGCGCCTGGGTGGCGCAGTCGGTTAAGCGTCCGACTTCAGCCAGGTCACGATCTCGCGGTCCGTGAGTTCGAGCCCCGCGTCGGGCTCTGGGCTGATGGCTCAGAGCCTGGAGCCTGTTTCTGATTCTGTGTCTCCCTCTCTCTCTGCCCCTCCCCCGTTCATGCTCTGTCTCTCTCTGTCCCAAAAAAATAAATAAACGTTAAAAAAAAAAAAAAAATTAAAAAAAAAAAACAAAACATATTTTCATTTAGATTTACTTTTCATCTTCAGAAATTCAATTTGAGTGATTTTTACACCTTTCATGCTTCTCAAGTTTTTGCACATATAGACTATAGTTATAAAAATTGTTTTAATGTACTTTTCTGCTAATTCTAACATCTCTGTCAGTTCTGGGTCATTTTGTGTTGATTAATTTTTCTGCCTATGATAGGTCATATTTTCCTTCTTCTTTGAGTGTCTGATCAATTTTGACTGACTGTTAAACCTTGTAAATTTTTCCTTGTTAGGTGCTTCATATTTTTTCTAATTCTTATAAATCTTGAGTTCTGGTTTGAGACAGTTTAATTATTTGGAAATAGTTTAATTCTTTCAAGTCTAGCTTTGAAGATTTGTTATGTGGGATAAAAGAAGTGTTTAGTCTATTATCTGATTGTTCCCTACTACATAGCCAAGACTTTTCTAACCACTGCATGTGAACCATACAGATTCCCAGTCTGGCTGTTAGGAACAGGCACTGCTCCCTGTCGTGTGTGCATGCAAGGTCCCTTCCCTTTAATTCTTTTGAGTAGTAATTTCTTCACACACATGCACCAGTCACTGCTATACCTACTACCTCAGGGGTTCCTTTGCCGATCTTCAGAGTTTCTCTCTGTGTCAGGCCCTGTTTTCTAATTCTTTTTGGTTTCCTTGGATTCTGAGCTCTGTCTTTAAAGCTTAGAATACTTGCCTGGATTTCTCCTCTCAGCAGCAAGGCCTGGAAACTTTTTTTAAATGTTTATTTTGAGAGAGAGAAAGAGCGAGCAAGTGAGCACGAGCAGTGGAGGGGCAGAGAGAGAGGGAGAGAGGGAATCCCAAACAGGCTCCACACCATCAGCGCAGAGCCCAGCATGGGGCTCAACTTCATGAACAGCAAGATCTTGACCAGAGCTGAAATCAAGACCGGATGCTTAACCCACTGAGCCACCCATGCACCCCGGCCTGGAAACTTTCTTATAACAGTAAGCTGGGGCAATTGTAGGGCACACTTGTGTGTTTCTCATCTCTCAGGGATCACTGTTCTTTACTTCCTGATGTCCCATGTTTTGAGAACTGTAGTTTCATATATCTTGTTCAGTTTTTTGGTTGATTTGAATAGGACAGTATTTTTTTGGTGTCTGTTGTATGTTGTAGCCAAAAGTGATAGTTGGGATGCTGAAATTTAAGATTTAGTAGTTATGAATAATTCCAGGTGAAGATACACAGAGTTGGACCCTAGGTATGAATGGAGTAGAGGCATGAAGGTCATTTAATGAGTCATCCACATGGACTTTGAAGTCATCTAAGTAGATGGATTTGAGATAGAGAGTAAGACTTTAAGCCAAGAGCCAAAGTTGTGGAATTTTAATACTGCATGTTTTACGTGTTTGGTTGGGAAAATACTCTTTTAAAATTATGTTAAATTCTCTTATCTTTTCTTCTAGAACCTTCTGACAACTTAAGGGAGATTCTCCAAAATGTGGCCAAATTGCAAGGAGTATCAAATATGAGAAAACTAGGCCATCTGAATAACTTTACTAAGGTAAGTAACTTGAGTCTTTATTAATATGATCATCTAAAATTCTGTTCCTTATACTTATTTCCGATGCTTTTTAACTACCATTAACAAATTCTTGGGGAATCACCCAATATTAGTGCTTTCCTCTGCTGCTGCTCATGGATTTTGTTATGTGTTATTAATTACAGTGTATTTGAATAATGGAAGTATTATGTGCTGCTTGTAGAAAATTTGGTAGGTTCAGAAAAGAATAAAGAAAACAGTCACTAAGAAGTCCATCTTCCAGTCTTCAGGATATTTCACATGTGTTTCTTTTGTCTTTTTAATAATAACTCATTTTTATGTGATAATATATGATAAATGTTTATCATTAATAAGTATATGTGTGTGTGTGTGGCATTTCATAGGCACAACCATAATTTCTAGAGAAATAATAAAACTTCCTCTCTCTTTTCCCTGATATTCTATGTCCATTTTCTGGATCTCAATTAGAGCCTAGGATAAACATAGGGGCCCTCATCCCCAATAAATACTGACTTGATCTTTGTTAGAATCCAAGAATTCTTGACTTTGATCGATGGTAGGTTTTTGAAGTAATTCTGGACAACCAACTCTTGGAAACACTAAAATGCCTGTTATTTGAGGTGATGCCATAAATAGGAAACAGAATGGTTCCTTTGGGAAAAATTACTGTTTTTTTTTTAGTTTACTAAATATACATTGTTCTGCTACATTTTAAATTTGGGAATAATTATATATGTTAGCCCCGTACTACTCAAAGTGTGACCCACAGACCAGCAGCATTGGCATCACCTTGAAGCTTGTTTGAAATGTACTGCTCAGCTCCACCCTAGACCTACTGAACCAGAATCTCCATTTTAATAAAGATTCTCAAATAAATTGTGTGTACATTAAAGTTTGAGTGGCACTGTTTTAATCTTTCCAAAATGTTTAATTAATAATTGGATATGGCTTGGACTTTATTTCACAGGTATAAACGGATAAAATATAGTCACTGCGTACCAGAATTGTTTTTTCAGTATGGTGATGTGAAATAATGCTCTATATAGAGCAGATTTTTTTTCATAGTTAGAGAAGTAAGCACATACATGTTAATTTTTCTTTTGTGAAGTTTGGAATATTCTGGCATGTATTTTTTTTATTACTATTATTTTTTTGTAACATTCATTTTTGAGAGACAGAGACAGCGTGAGTAGGGGAGGGGCAGAGAGAGAGAGGAAGACACAGAATCTAAAGCAGGCTCCAGGTTCTGAGCTGTCAGCACAGAACCCGATGCGGGGCTCAAACTCACAGACTGCGAGACCATGACACGAGCCAAAGTCAGCAGCTTAACCAGCTGAGCCACCCAGGCGCCCCTGGCAAGTATTTTTAAATTTTTTTTTTTTTTTTTCAACGTTTATTTATTTTTGGGACAGAGAGAGACAGAGCATGAACGGGGGAGGGGCAGAGAGAGGGGAGACACAGAATCGAAACAGGCTCCAGGCTCTGAGCCATCAGCCTCCAGAGCCTGGACACGCTGGGCTCAACCCCGACCCATGAGATCGTGACCTGGCTGAAGTCGGACGCTTAACCGACTGCACCACCCAGGCGCCCCCCTGGCAAGTATTTTTATATAACATGAGAAAATTATATGAGGGGCAAGAAAGTTAATTTGTTTATTTATGTATTTAAAAAAAATTTTTAAATGTTTATTTATTTTTGAGAGAGAGTGAGAAACAGAGTGCAAGCAAGCAGGGCAGGAGCAGAGAGAGAGGGAGACACAGAATCCGAAGTGGGCTCTAGGCTCCAAGCTGTCAGCATGGAGCCCGATGCAGGGCTTGAACTCATGAACCACGAGATCGTGACCTGAGCCAAAGTTGGATGCTTAGCCAACTGAGCTTCCCAGGTGCCCCTGTTTATTTATTTTTGAGAGAGAGAGAGAGAGAATATCCCAAGCAGGCTCCGCACTGTATGCACGGAGCCCGATGCAGGGTGTGAACTCATGAACCATTGATCATGACCTGGGCTGAAAATCAAGAGTCGGATGCTTCACTGACTGAGCCACTCAGGCACCCCAGAAAGTAATATTTTTAAAGCAACTTCCAAAAACATTGAATAAATGCTTGAGAAAGAGTTTTCAAAAATATCCCTAGATATGTTTTCATTTTTTAATGAATGTAATGAAAATATTCAAATGCATTCATTCTTCAGTGTGCTCATCAGCTAATGTCAAGTCTTTTAGACCCAAAGTTCTTTCAAGATTGTAATGGTATCTCCTGGTTTCACTCCCTTCTATTAAATTTCCCAGTTTTATCTCACATTCTTCACTCATCTTGAATAAGTCTTAACCATTTGCCTAGATTTAACCATTTAAAACAAATTTCATATAGATTTATGTCCTGTTTGAACTCATGGTTCCTGTCATAATCAGGTTGACATCTTGATATGTAGTTCCACATCTTTTGCCAGCTGGGATTCTGAAAGTTGGGAATGGATGTAAGGATGGCAGTGATTTCTTTTTTTTTTCACTCTGGCACTAGTATGGATCTTAAGGCAATATTAAAAATCTAGAGCAGCATCATCCAGTAGAAGTATAATGCGAACCACAAATATAATTTAAAATTTTCTAGTACCACACCAAAAAAGGAAAAAGAAGCATGTGAAATTATTTTTAACAATACATTTTCTTTAATCCAGTATATCCAGATTATTGCATTTGATATAATTAGTATAAAACATTAATGATGAAATGTTTATTAATATTTTATACAAAATATTTGAAATCAAATATGTATATTATTCATGTAGTACATCTTAATTCAGACTAGCCACATTTACAGTGCTCATAGCAACCTGTGGCTAGTAAATACCAACCATAATGGACAGTACATATATAGGCTTTTTGGAATAGTAGTTAAAGCATTAATTTTAGGAATCTGTTGGACACCTTTTTCCTTTCTCTATTTTCCATTTATTTCTGTCTCAATCTCAGGTTCTCTGGGTTAAGGTCACTTGCCCTCTCCCTTCTTCCCTTTTCCATTTCATTGTTTCTGTATCTTTGAATTTTACCCACAGTATTTCACTAAGTTGTTTTCTTTACTTGGTCTTTCCTTGATATGTGTTCTCCCAGTCTCTTTTCCCTGTCTTCCCTTCACTCTCTCCTTCTCTGTTCTCTTTCTTTCCTTCTTCCCCTTTGTCACCTCTCTTTTCACCTTTCTCTACCCCCTTCCCTCTGTCTCTTTCCCTCATTTCTCTCTCCTTTCCCTGTCTCTTCCCCCATTGTACCACTGTAGATAACAGAATGATTTATCTCCTTAATAAAGGCCCTAGGCTTTGGGGCTTCTTGTATTCTTGTTTTTTGTTTTGCTATATCCTCTCTTTGTAATTTTCACATTTCCGTCTGGCCCTTGTGCTAGCTTATAGCAACCTTCTATTTGCTATTATAAATTATTTATGGATTTAAAACCAGAAAAGCAGACTTACTAGAATTTGTCTACAATATGAGGCACTAAACCTTGAGTTGGGGTCTGAGGGGCTCTCCCATTAGTAAAGTCCACGAACGCTGGACTTGATAAAATCAGTTTTCTGCCCTATGATAACAATGGGAAAAACATGAGCTTTAGATCAAATAGATAGAGACTTACAGCCTAGCTCTGACCCTAACTAGCAAGGCAGTCTCGGGCAGATTTCTTTACTCAGGTAAAGAGGCAAGGTCTCAGTTCAATGCCTGGCACGCAATATGTACTTCGTAACAGGTAGTGCCTTTGTTTTGTTTGCTTTTGTATTTTTTGCCATTTGTATAGTTTTTTTGTTTTTTGTTTTTGTTTTTTTTTTTGGCTGACTCTAGGACATGAGTCTGCTTAAGAGTTCACAAATTACAGATTGGTAAGCTGTTACTGTAACAGGGTTTTTTTGACCTCAGTAATTCCGACATATTGGGCCAGATAATTATTTGTTTTGGGAGGCTGTCTTCTTCATTGTAGTATGTTTAACAGCATCCCTACTTCTATCCCCTGGATGCCAGTAGCACACCTCTACCAGCAGTGTCTCCAGACACTGCCAAATATTTCCTTGGGAACAGAATTGCCCCTGGTTAAGAACCACCACTGTAAATAAATGGCTGTAGATTTTATTATAAAATTTCTTCAAGCACCCTGTGCAAAATAAATGCTTACTGTAAATTTAATCATAACATAATATGCCTTTGAATTCCATTTTGTTCGAGAGCTAAGTTCGTAAACATTTACATAGCTGGTATTTCTGTAAAATCTGTAAGTACATTTCCTTGTATGGTTAGAAATTCTGAGAAATCTCTATGAATATCTTTATAGAATAAGTAAATAAGAAAAATAATTATGATGCCACTTAGACTAGTTAGGAGTTGGTTGGTCCCCCTTCTCTGTGTTCCCATAACAGATTATGTGTGTCTACTAAATTTTATCTGTTCTTTTGTTATTATTTGTTGTGGGTTACTGTCTTATTAAACTGAGTTTCTTAAGCACAAATCACATGTAGTATTTATTTTTCTACTCTTCATTTTTACTCCAAAGCCTGGTATGTAACAAGTGTTTAATTAAAGGTTTTATATTACATTGAGAAGATTTTGCATTTTAAATATGAGTTTTTGTCGTACTACTAGTTGTTTTGTTATGAAGTAGAAGCTTGCTGTTAGGATTAACTTAATTTAGTAGATCAGTGGGGCTAAAATCTTTTAGAGAGTAGACCTCATCTGCAGAAATAAACTTCCTTTTAAGGCATGAAGAGAGGGTGCTAGTGATGTGATCCTGTAACCATGTGAATGTCACACACCCGTGCTTGCCTTCTGACATCATTGCACTAGATAAAGTAGTGTGTATAACAGACTGCTGATGAATATAATCTCAGTATCCTATTTTTAAAACTGACAACATGCTTATAATCTAAAGACCTGTTTAAAGATGAAACTATTTCAGGTCTTTACATTCTAAAAGTTCTCTTTTCCTATATTTCATCTCCTATTCATATTGAAAGTTCCAAAGGAGTCT